ATGATTTATTGATCTAGTATTGAAAGAAGCATTATCTAAAAATAAATTAAAAACATTTTATTTATTAATTCAAACACATCCATGCTTGAGTCATGCCAGGACTCGATCTTGGGCCAATTTCAAGCTAAGCCCCAGACTTTTTTTTTAATAGGACCTGAATCAACCCTTTACTAGCTGGTCCTAATCTGGGCTAGACCCGACCTAGGCCCAATGAAGCCAAACCCAGTTTTTTTCCAAACTAATTTAGGATTGGCTCGGTCCTGAACCGGCTCATAACCACCGAACAGTTATGCTGTGGAAACGTGTTCACCATGCGCATGGTGAACACAGGGGTAGATCCATAATTTCTATACTGTAGATTCATAATTTTTTTTTTTTTTTGAAAACATAAATTCATAATTTTGTTTTTCATTTGTTGTTTACGGGATAAATCCATAATTTCTAAACTGTAGATTCATAATTTCTATACTGTAGATTCATAACATATATACTGTAGATTCATAATTTCTGTACTGTAGATTCATAATTTCTATACTGTAGATTCATAATTTCTGTAATGTAGATTCATAATTTCTGTAATGTAGATTCATAATTTTTGTACTGTAGATTCATAATTTCTATACTGTAGATTCATAATTTCTGTACTGTAGATTCATAATATCTGTAACAACAAATGAAAAACAAAATTATGAATCTACATTTTCACAAAAAAATAAAAAAATAAAATGAATCTACAATATAAAAGTTATGGATTTACCCCTGTATTCACCATGCGCATGGTGAACACATTTGCACAACATAATTTGCGGTAACCACCTCTACAGGCCAGTAAGCTTAGTCTAGGTATAGCTAAAACTCTACAAGGCATCAGGTTATCAGCATGAAATTTTTGTATCCAATGGTTTGGTCTTATGTAGAGGATCTATAATGCAAGGTGCAGCAGTGGATCTAGTTTACGGTATGGGTAGCTCAACTGGTCATAGAGGTGAAACTTTGGAATAATGACCAGGGATCGAGTCTCATCAGCAGTGTGGGAGTAACCTCTCAAAGTGAGGGGGGCTCCTTGTGCACAGTGAGCACCGGTCTAGCCTCTATGGTTCATGTTCGGTTGAGTCACCATGATTTACATCCTCCTAAATGCTCTGTCAGGCCGGGGTGTGGGGGGGGGGGGGGGGGAGGGCACTTAGGGTTGGGGTTCAGCTTTTTGGAATAATTAATATACTAACTAAGGGTATGTTATATATTAACTGCAGATACATAATAAATTAATTATTTACTACTTTATATATAATATGTTAATTGTAATAAGTATATAATATATTAATTAAATATATATAATGGACAAGGCCCACACAATCTTAGTCCACAATATAACAATTAACACTTGTTACGTTCCTCGAAGAAGCAAAGCATGCTCTGATGACAGATAAAACTAGATTAAACAACTCATGAATATTGATTTAGACATTGAAGAAAATATAGGTTTATTCAAAGAAATCATATAATACAATATAATATACAGCTAATGAGAATCCCACCAACCACTTGTCTAATATCAACAAAATTTGAGAATGATTCAGGAAAACACAATGCAAAAGATTCATAGGTAATAAATAAATAAATAGGATATTTCCACTCAATAATCCACGCGCTTTCCCTCTCAAAAAACACAAAGACCCAAAGCACTATTGCTGTCAAGAAAAAGAATCATTTACGAAAGCCAATGGCGTCCAGATCAGCCCTTTCCAAAAGGCCGGCCCCCTTAGAGACTTATCTCGTACTTTTTTTGTTGGTGTATCTTTTTTTTTTTTTTTTTTTTTTGGTTGCTTTTGTTGGTATATCTAAGGCGAAAATTGACCTCTTAACAAAATTTTAGAGGACTAAACAAGTACTACTTGATCAGTTCATAGTGAGGTGTTTGGTAAATAATTATTAATGGGTTGTATTAGTTGGTTTGACTAGTTAAAAATTAAAATTGATATATGCTAAAATTTTAGCGTTTTGAAGTAATAAGATATTACAAAAATATTACAAAAAATTAATTAATTAATCAAACATCTAGGTTGTTTAACAAGTCAAACAGCTAATAGTGATTAAATGGGTCAAATTTGACTGATAAACTAATTATTGGCCAAAAATTGCCATTAGATATATTCATTTGTTACTTTTAATGGCGTTTGGTTCACGAAATGTTATATTGCCCCTAGAATGTTAGATTGATGTGTTTGGTTTAAAAAGGTCTAAAACTCAACATTAATAATAAGGCAAGGGAATGTGAGATTATCTAAGAAATTAGAGAGTATCTCACATTCTCTTCTAATAGCTAAAAACTTAATGGGGAGGTTATCTGATATTTCCTGAAAAAGTTACATGAGAATCTTATATTACCAAGCAAATATAACATTGGTTATTTTATATAACCTGAACCAAACTCTCCTGTGGTTGATTTGAACTTAAAATTTTAAACAAATGTCACTTGATTACAAGATTATTTTAAATATTGTGGTTAGATATACTTATTTGGTGCTTTTTGGTTGATACGAACTTAAACAAGTGTCACTTAATCAAAGATTTTAAGCTCAAATTTTGATAGAAAATAAAGGGCTAAAATATCAGCATAGGAATACTAGACATTGAATAACAGTGGTACCTAATCTGAAGCCGGGAACCACCGTGAAAGCCACTTTGGGCTGTGTTTCCGGCGAGCCGTCCCACGACAAGACCGGCTCGTCGTTAGCATTGTCCATGTAAACGTCGGAGAATCGAGCCCCCTTGCTCACCTGGAAGATCGAAGCCTCGGGGTTGAAAGAAAAAGCCAAGCAATGCAACAACCACACGCGTTTCGCCATCTCCGCGAAACAAGAGAAGAACCCCGTCGCCGGGAACTCCCCGGATTTCACCATTTTCCGATGATCACAGTCGCCGCCGAACAGCGATTCTTCCATGGCGGGATGAACCAGCCTCCTGTATTTCTTGCCGCAAAACCTCGCGAACGTCGATTTTGGTTTCCGGGCCAGGTAGTCCGCCGCCTTCTTCACGGCGTTCACTTCCGCGAATCGCCTCTGTCTTTTCTCCGGATCTTGCAACGCCTCGCCGGAGAGGCTGAAGTTTGGGCGGTCGAAACCGTCGAACATCACCCGACAAACGTAGGATTCGAACGCGAAACATCGGCGGTTTTTTACTTTGAACAACGCGGCGGAATCGGGCTGGATTGCACTGGCCGCCGCGTCCAAATCCCACCCGGCGGATTCCATCTCCCAACACAGCTGCCGGACAAAACTCCGGATTGAGCTCACCGTCTGCCGGAAAAATCTAACAAAATGACTGTAATTCAACGTTGAGAGTCGAAGGTTGTCGGGAAGGGGTAACTGTAACTCAGAGGTGGAATTCAATCTCTTCTCCAACAATTTATTCTCTTTATTAGCCTCCTCTAATTTCGCCTTTAAGAACATAATCTCCGACCCCTTAAGCTTAACCTGGGAATCCATCTTCTTCGCCATGGATTCATACATTCTAAGAACGCAATTCTGCTCCTTAATTTCCGCCAACAACAGAGTAACCCCAGGAGAAGAACCTCGATCCCCATCCCGATCCCGATCAATCTGTTTCTTCGAAAAATACCGTTTGAGCTCCGACAAGAGCTTCAACTCCGACACCACCATCTGATCGGCGGCACGAATCAGCTCCGGGTCGTAAGGAGAATGGGCAAACTGCAACTCCGCATACGCCGCTTTAACGGCGGAGAGGCTGGCAAACACCTTGGCAACAAAAGCTTCAACCGCCATTTTCTCATCCCCATCATCATCATCATCATCATCCTCACTTCTCTTCACTAAATCGCCATTATTATTCCCGGCATCAACCTTCACCTTCTCATTCGACTTGGGTTTCCGAATGCGGAAAACCTTGCCCAGAATCCCACCCCATCTGCTCTTTCTTGGCGTCACCGCCGAGCAGTCAACAGAATCCATCTGATATTCTGATCTGCACCAAAATTATAACAAAAACAAATGAAGAAGAAAACGACAGAGACTGACTGGGAGGCTGTTTTGACAACGTAACTCAAGTTACAATAATTGTATAGAACTGAAAACCTAATGTATCAAAAAAGAATCAAGAAAGGAGTATAATGATGGTGGCAAGTCTTAACAAGAAGGAAAAGCAGGAGCCTTTATTCTAGGATCGAGGTTATATGGAATTTCTTTTATTTATTTTTTTGTTGTATCCAATTTGAGGGAAGGATTCAAAAAGTAAGTAACTAAGATGATAGAAAAAAGAAATCTAATATAATCTAAAGGCCAAGCTCAAAGACCGGTCGAAAGTTGAATGGCGTTAATGATGTTCCACCACAAATTGCTAATATTAATATTATTATTTATGCAGCAGAGAAGAAAACAAAGCATGTAAATTACCTGCGCACGAATATCCGGTTTCCGAAGCTGCCGACCTAATCAAATACGGAATATCTATAGTCAATAGCTACCAATTACCAGGAAATTTTATCTAAATTTATTAGTATTTATTAATAAATAAATAAAAGAATTTAAATACTCATAATCGACCATTAAATGACGCGCTCGTTCATACTCACTGTTGATTCAACAGTTAATCTCAAGAATCAATTCACCTAGACAATTTAACAAACACCTGGGATACAACCATGAGATTTTTTATTTTTTTATTTCTTTTTTTAAGCAGCGACAACAAAAGTTGTGATCCTCTTGTACCGCAAGTTATTGTGTGGGGCCGGATTCATCTTACAAGATGAATTCTAGTCAAAATGTTCACAATTTACTTTTAAAAATTTACAATTTGTATACTACAATTTTACGAATACACAATGTTAATATATATATATATGTAATTGACTTTCTTATTTTGTATTCACAAGTTCTTTCAAATGTTGTAGTTATACAATATTAACATATTAAAATATGATAACAATGTATTGTATTCATAAATTTTCTTTACAGTTGTTATATGTTTGACTTAGAAACACAAATTTATATTTTAAAAGTTCACATTTATAATATTAAAAATACATAATTTATAAGTTGTTAAGTTAATGATATAACAACTCCTTTTGTACTGTGTGGGCCCACTTGGCTAACAGAACTACTTCAAAACTTCTCTGTTCCACTCGTAAAATTGAACAGTCTGCTCCATCATCTCTATCAATCCCACGGAATCACCAGTTTATTTTCGCCAACATTTTTAATTATTTTATTTGAAAAATTTTTGATTATTATACATGAATCACATTTGGTCATTAAGTATTCAATATTTTTTAATTAGATACATAATTATATAATTTGTATCATATTTTACTGTTCAATTTTTCAATCAACTATTGCCGAAAGTGATCATTCCAGAAGGAGCACTACATTTGCTTCTTATAGAATGAGCACTCCCGGTAATAGTTGGCTGAAAAATTAGACGACAGAACTACAAATTACATAGTCATGCACTTAATGAGAATATTTTAATAGTCAAGAATCAAACGTGATTCATATATAATAGTCAAGAGACCAACAATGCATTTTTTATTTTTTTTTTTTAAATTGTAATTTTTGGAAGTATTAAAGGTGTGTTTGGTTGACATGTTTAGCTATCAGAATGGGTATCAAAGTCATTGTTATTGTTTAGTTGACAAGATTTTAAAACACTACTATGAATGTTGATTACCCCTCAATTGAAAAACTCATTCCCTAATAAAATAAGGGTTTCATTCCATTATTCATCCTTAACCTAATCATTCTCATTCCATCATACTACTAAACATGCAAAATACTTTTACCAAAATTCATTACCATTACCAAATATTTGATACCCATTACAATTTCGATTCCCATGTGCGAAACAACCACACCCTAAATTCTTTCCGTTTATCTTTTTAAGGGTGTTGTTATTTGTACCACCCAGGCACCCACTAGTGAAAAGTAAGTGTAAATCACATTGGAATTGTAAAAATGATAACAAATTCAACAATTTATAAGTGGTGTAGATAACAATAAGGGTGTAAATATTACTATTTACACTATCCTGGGCAAACGTGATTTACGATATTCTATTAATAATTTTTTAATTAAAAATTTAATTAATTAAAATATTAAAAAAAAATAAGGCGACCCATGTAAAAGGCGAGGGGTTGTCTGTTTGTTTGTTTTTTTTTTTTTTTTTTATGTTTTAATTTTTAAATAAATAATAAATAATAAATATTTTAAATAAAAAACATAATGTTTGATTAAATTTAATAATGGTGGTGTAAATAGAAATTTTCTATTTACACCACCTATGAAAGATAATACACATATCAAAGAGTGGTGTAAATAGTAATTAGGGTGGTGCAAATAAAATTCCCTTTTTAATATGCAAGTCTAAATTTCAACAGGAGTTAAATCACAATTTAATAATATTAATGAACGTTTGACTAATCAATTAGAATTTTTTTTTTTTTTAAAGAAAATCAATTAGAAATTGATGCGTCTCATACATTCATTCTATTTTGTTCCCCATTGTCCTTTTTAATACTATTTTTTGTCAAGCTAACTTTATTTTCTTTATATATTTTTAAACAATTTCTATTTGTTTTAATTTAGATAAACTTTTAATGTAATGTTATTCACTAATATTAAAATCAATTATACAAAAAAATAAAGTGTAAATACATTAAATTAATATTTATAATACCAAACACATAAAATGTGATGAAATGATGTATACTTTTACTCTTTGCAATAATATAAGGTACTCTGTACTATTGCTGAGGAAGGTAAAATCACAGAGTTGTCAATTTGGTACAAGTAATTTAGTCTGGTGACATTATGTAACCACTTGAACTAGTCGTGCGACATTTAGTTTCCTTCAATTTTTCATCCCCTAGCATCCATCCTTGATATTACTAAGCTAAAGGGGCCTACTAAAATTAAGAAGTTGAATACTCAAAACATTTTTTATTAAAAAAAATTCCAACATCATGCCAGCAAAAAAAATATATACATAGAAAAATGGAAGGGAGCCTAGCACGATTCATTCCGGTATTATCATTTATTGAGTTTTTAAACTTTTTTTTTTAAGATGAGTTTTTAAACTTTTTGTTTTTGTGTTTGGAATTAACGAAATTTAGTTCCTAAATATCGAAAATGTTCCACTTTAATTTTCTGTTAAGATTAATAGTGACATATTTAACACATTATCATTCTGAAATGAGTAGTTAAGTGAGTATAGCATAATTTTCGTATCAGAATTTTACGAATTCAGTTTTCGATAACACACTCTTTGTCGAGCATGTCAAAGTCATTCGAGACATTTTCAAATAGTCGTTATGGAACTGCAAGTTGAGATTAAAATAATAATAATAGAAAAGAAAAGTGTGATACAAGTAGGGATGACAATTTGTCCCGTCATTGATGGGGATCCCGATTCCCGTCCAGACGAAAAAGGAGATGAGAAAATTTTTCTAAAAACGGAAAGTGTATGTAATTTTCTGTTGGGAACGACAACGGGGACGGAGATACCCAGCCCCGCCTCCAAATAATTATTATAATAAATAAATAAGTGTATATATGTGTGTATATATACGTGTAAATAAATGTATGTAATTCTTCGTTGTCAACGCTACTTAGAAGATTAAAGTAAAGAACTAAAGATGTGGGGTTTTCAGGAAAAAAAAAAAAAAAAAAAAAAAAAAAGATGTGGGAATTACAAAACACGTTTGTATTGTATCACCGCCTTTTCTTTTGCGACTGGCGGACTGGGAATGGAGATGCGGAAGATCCTACAAAACAATGTGATTTTACACGTGTGAAGCGGAAAGCGATGGGGACGAGGTAGATGCGTTCTGGACCAATATTCATTGCACATTCATACATCAAAAATAAATTCATTTTAATATCAGCGTACCAGTAACTGACGCATTAATATCCGTTACAGTTTACACAGACTTCTCGATCGTCGAGTAATCTAACGGACAAAAACGCATTCCTAGGAGTCTTTACGTGGTCCCCTCCTCACGCCGTTTCTAATCATCCTCTGCCGTTACGGGGCAAAACCCAGTTTCAGAAATTTATACTTTTTAGAGTAAATATTCAAAATGGTCCATCGACTATAGCTAAATTCACAAATTGATTCTCGATTTTCAATTTCAACCAATTAAGTTCTTAACTTTGCAATTTTAACACGATTTGATCCTTTATCTATTTGACCGTTTGTTGACCGCGATATTTGAGGATATATATGTAGTTTCACGTGCAAAGTTCAAGAGAACACTCTTGGAGATGACATTGTTGTTTCAGAGGGGGAAGTGCTTCTCCGCTTGCTGCTTGGGGATCCCGAGCCGGTTCAGCTTGCCTACATTGCTTGGAGTCACGGCTTTCTCGAAGAGCCACTCCATGGACTTCGGCGATCTATCTATCAAAAGCTATAAGAGAAAATTTCAATTTTGGTCATATAACTATAGGGGCTTTGTTAATTTCAGCACCTGACTTTCAAAAGTGTCAATTTAGTACCTTGACTATGCAATTTTTATCAATTTTGGTCACTCCGGTCAAATTTCGCCAAAAAAACTTAATTCTTCATTTAGTCTATAATCTGAGGGGCAAAATCGTCTTTTGAAGTCTGGTAAAATTATTTTTTTTCTGACGATTTGGCCAGTAATTTGGTCGGAGTGACCAAAATTGACAAAAATTACATACTCAAGGTACTAAATTGACACTTTTGAAAGTCATGTGCTAAAATTAACAAAGCCATTATAGTCATATGACTAAAATTGAAATTTTCTCAAAGTTATAATCTCTCCGGCATGGGGTACAGCGCCAGCAGTGGATTCAAATGTAACAGTGCGGTCTAGCAATGCAATCGGAACCTTAAAAAATCGACGATGGACCATGAAATTACATATATATCCTAAAATAGCGCAGTCAACAAACGGTCAAATAGGCAAAGGACCAAATTGTGTTAAAATTGCAAAGTTAAGGACTTAATTGGTTGAAATTGAAAGTCGAGGACCAATTTGTGAATTTAGCTATAGTCGAAGGACCATTTTGGGTATTTACTCTACTTTTTATTTAAAAAATGTCAAATAAACTCTCGAATTTAATTGAAAAGTCAATTAGTTTCTTAATTTTTTTTAAATATGTAATTAAACACATTAACAATTTATTTGAGGTAATAAAGTCCACAAACCTATTAATGACATGTTATCATATGTCATTAGGATTCCGACCACCTTCCGATAAAATTTCAAACAAAAAAGTGATCGACGAATGGTCGCTAGCTGGTCACGAAGAATGAGACGAAAGTCACCTTCTACGTAGAGAAGGCGACCACTGGGTCACCGCCTCGCCGGTCACAGAGAAGGAGACCAAGGTTGCCTTCTTCGGGTGAGAAGGTGCCCACTGTGGTGTAGAGAAGGCGAGTTTGGTCTCCTTCTCTTTGACCGGATCGGTTGCCAGTCACTTTTTTGCCTGAAATTTCATCGGAAGGAGACCAGAACCCTAATGACTTGTGATAGCAGGTCATTAACTGATTTTTGGGCTTCATTGCATCAAAATAAATTGTTGATGAGTGTCATTGCACCTTTAAAAAGTTTAGGAGGCCAATTAACTTTTTTCAACTAATGTTCGATTACCTATTTGACTATTTCTCTTTTTATTTCAATTTTCTGTTCTCAATCTTTTGTTGACTAATTTTCATTTTTGTTTTCTACATTATGTTCTATTTAAAAAAATTATTTACTAACACTCAATCGAAATAGTAACTTGTCTCCATCTAAGCTCAAGAAATTACTCAATTATGACATTTATTGGGGCAACCTTCTTATTGAATCTATGTTTAGAAAAGAAAAAAAGTTTAGTTAAACTAATCAACATCTCTACTCATGGTGAAGAGTTGTTGCACTAAATCTCTTCCTTTTTAAATTGTAAACTTTTCAATAGTCATAAATAGTCACAAGTTGTTAGTCAACCATCAGAATCAGAATACAAAATCTAAACTCAAAACTATATGAAACAGAGCCCAAAGTAGTAAGGTAACTCTTGGTGTCTAAGTAAAGCCAAATACTTGGAGAAAAAGCATAATTTTTTAACCTACTTGGAAAATAAAAACAATCGAAAATATAAGAATTTAAAGCGCATAGAATTGACACTATTCAACCAAAAAAAAAAAAAAAAAGGAACAACTTTAGACCATGCCAAGGGGTATTAAAGACTAAAGAGTCATAGTTAATCCATTGATTTGCTCCAGTGAATATGTCTAAACATAAATAATAATTTAATTAGTCAAAATCAGCAAATAGTATTAAGCAACAAAGAGAAAAAGTATGTAGCCAATCCTTGTTAAACAATTGGTAATTGTTGTCTCAAATTTGGTGAATCAAGACCACAAGGTAGTTGTGTTGTTACAAATCTTAGAAAAAGAAATATCCAATTGGCCAATACCACATTAATTATTTGTTTCGCGTCAATATTAATATGTCCTTTCAAAATATAATGCTACAAATATGATCAATACTTGTAACTACATTTTGAAAAACACACACTTCTAACAACTACAATGGTTGATGATCTTAAATGGCTTAACAACTATCTTATTATTAGAATTAGGAAATTATTAAGAATATGAAATATGAATGTTCACCAATAGTGACTATCAAATATGTTTTTACAGAATTGTTAAAAGGAAAATGCTATTTTTTCGTTCAAACTTTTTCCTCCTAGTTTTCATACATTAGATGTCAATAAATTAACTGACCTCATCACTAATTAAAAAATAAATTTAACTACCAATAAGATTTGTCACATCAAGAGGAAATTTTTTAGGAAAAATACCAGAGGGGTTTATAGTATTGTTGTCGTTTGCACTCTCATATGAATAGTATCTACTATCTGGCAATAAGGTAACAACATCCCCATTCTCATCGTATTATATCACCCATAAATAACTAGTTCTCTATTTCATTCAACTAAACAACAGAAATTACTGTGTAGATTATAAAAAGAACTTCAGTTGGGTAGGCTAGGCTAGTAAAGCATAAAAAATTCTACTTCTGATTCAATTCATAGGGGTCTTTGGAAACCTTAATCACCATTGCCAGAAGGTCAGCAGCTGCAAAATTCAATCTCTCATCTGGATACACAAATCCAACAAACAAATTGGGGCAGAGTTTCCTAGTCAGAAGCTAACACTGAGCTATCACATATTCCTGAATTGGTGGTTTGGGCAAAACCTAAATTTTGCAGCACACGAAAAACGATAACTGGTTCAAGGGCAACTGCAAAATGGGGTTTAGAATCCGAAGAAACCCAGCTCACTGGCTCTTTCCTTCTCGAAGGTCTCGAAATACTGGTATATGATTGTGACAGCCAACAGAATCCCCGTCCCAGAACCAATTGCACCCATGAAATCTGCCAGTACTGTCAGTGCACCAATGCACATACCACCAAAAGCCGCCGCAGTAGGTATATAACGGTTCAGTTCCTTGTACAGATTTGATTCCCTGTGCCCCGGCATCACCATTTGTTGTTCCTGAAAATCATGCATGGGCAATCTATATTAGGGAGATGAAGACCCGAGTATACTGAATACACAAATACACTATCCATATTAAATACACAGATGCACTATCCATTAATGTTGAAAAAATCGCTAGGCCCTGGGGACCGCCTAGAGCGCCTAGGCGGGCGGGCGCCTAGGAGGCCGACCGCCTAGCGCCTAATCGGCGTCTAGGCGCGATTTTTGCAACACTGCTATCCATACACGTGAGTGAACATATTGACTGTTAAAATAAGAAAACAACATGGAATTCAAAATAATCATACCTTTAACTGTTTAGCCACATCCCGGGCTGATGATCCTGAAACTTCAATCCAGGTCTTTGAAAACAAAGCACAAGCTGACAGCATAAACACAATATAAAATAAAGCATGAAAAGGATTGGCTGCCATATCTGCCAAACTGCAAAAAAGAGTGCATGGTGAGTACCATGGGATACAATGAATTTTATATTCCATAGAGGTTCATGAAAATCATAAATAGTTAAACTGACATATGGACCCTCAACAGAACAGTAAGACCAAGTAATCATCTGTTACCTTGATGGTGCTGTAATGTAATAAGCAAGACCACCAACAGGAACAGATTGACCAGAATATTCAGATTCTTTCCATTTCCCCAACAGGTTCACGAGGAAATTTCCACTGTATTTCCTATACAGCAACTGTGAAGATGCAAATTCAATTAGATCACGTCATCTGGATCTTGAAGTCAATAAGAATCAGTGTGTCCTAGAGATAATACCTGTGAGATAAAGTAAAGATTCGATACAAGTGCAGACTGCAAAATGATTGGCATATTTGAAGTGTAAAATAGCTTAATTGGATATGACCCCTGTTGTCCACGGGCATTCTTTGACCTCACAGGCAAAACAACTCGGAAGCCTTGGAAGTAGATAACAATGAGGAAGATCAATACTGTGGCAAGCAAGTTTGTTACATTTGGTAGGTTTTGCCGATAGAAAGCCTCTCGAAGTGCACGGACCTTATCTGTCCGGGTAATTAATAAATGGAACAAAGCTATAACAGCTCCTTCAAATTCAGCTCCACGTCCACTGTTGATTGTAGTTGGACTAAACGCCTTCCAAATGATTGTCTCACTATCAAAGAGGGAATTTTTTTTTAATACCAAATATTCAAAGCGGTAAATCTGCAAAGCACGTATCATAGCAGCTTACCAAATGTTGGTTGCAATGAAGAGTGAAATTCCAGACCCTAAACCATATCCTTTCTGAAGGAGTTCATCCAAGCAAATAACTATTATGCCAGCAAAGCAGAGTTGGATAATAATGAGAATTGCATTGCCGACACCAAGTTGGCTAACACTGCCATACATCCCAGAGAGAACATATGCGACAGCCTCCCCAATAGCTATTAGAATGCCTAATAACTTCTGTGCTCCATTTCTGTTACCAAAACAGGCAATGATTATCATCATCAACAAAACAAAAGAACAACTTTGATAAGCTTGCCAATCTGACTCAAGTAGGTATGTCATCATAAATAAAGCTAGATAACAGGGCAAGACGTTAATATAATTTTGTTGAGCATCTGGAGTGTCACAACGGTACTTACAGAAGTGCACGATCCTCACGAACATTGTTGTCAACTTCAATAATTTTTGACCCAGCTAAGAGTTGCATAACAAGTCCAGAAGTCACAATGGGGGTGATTCCCAGCTCCATGACAGTACCCCTATTTGAAGCAAGAATAACACGCATCCAATAGAATGGATCTGCACCAGTTGTAGAGTGTATTCCATACAACGGGAGCTGACTACATACAAGGAAAATGAAGAGAGAGATCACAGTATATATGACCTTCTCTCTAAATGGAATTTTCCTGTCGGCACTTTGAACTTCAGGCAGAAATGAAAGAAAAGGACGAACAAGATGGAGAACTCTAAAACCACCCCCCATCTTTCCTCTTACAGCTCAATCTGCATTTCGAAGTTTAGAGAAAGGAATAAACTATCAGAAGGATCATAGTAAAAGATTATACATCAAAGTTGGATGTTGTAGTGCCAGATATTCAACACAGACCAAATCTCACAGAACCAAACTAAAGTTGCTCCAAGAACAACAGTCCAAGTGTTCACACCAGAAACAACCAACCAACCAACAAAAAAAAACAAAACAAAAAATCTATTCCTTTAGAGAAAATTATAGAGTACAACTTTAAGTTACAAAATTAAAATGCAACATTTAAAGATCCTATTTTTATAGAATAGACCAACAAAAATTAAAATTTAGATAAACAAAGAGACATTGTACACTGAAATCTGCTATTCTTAAAATGAATTGCTTTCTTTAGTTTACCCTGGTACCAATCTGCTATTCTTAAAATCAACAGAACCTTAACTACAAAAATTCCTCATATTATCTCAATTGTGTGGGTAAGTAATGTAATCTTCTGTTTTCGATCCATTATGCAACCCCCTTACAAGAATACACATTAAACAACAAATAAAATTACACCAAAATAAGTAATACAACATAAATTCACTTCCTTAATTCTCAAATTTTCGAGACATTAAAACACCAACAAGGTCAATTATCCCACGGTTATCCCAGCTATCAACTCTCTAATGCACAGAGTCACAGAGAAGATCAATCATGTCGAGCTCAAATCCATCAATGCATGCAAAATCGAATCATTATATCCGTAAACATGAAAAATAAATCCAATTAACCGCAAATCTAAAATTAATTAATCATCTAAATCAAAACCTAATGTCGATGAACATGTTGGATACACTAAATTGTTCAAAAAAGTAAATAAATAAAGGCTTAAAAAACAAAAAGCATCCAAAAGATACATGCAAACAATAATATAGAACAAAGAAAAAAATATGCGAACTTGAATACCTGCGAAAGTCTCCGACTCTCCGTAGCTTCTCTTCACGGACTTAGATCCGATCCGTTTCTCAGTAATGTTATAAATGTGGACAAGACGATGACGTTACATTCTGACTTTCATCCTATCATTTATAGGCACGTGTACGCTTAAATAATTTTTATTTTTTGAAAGAACATGCCAATTTCACGACTAGTCATTTGTTGCCTTTGTTGATAGTTTCTAAAGGCCCCTAATAGGGCATGATTTTTTTATTTTTTATTTTTGAAAAAACTAATATGGCATGATTTAAGATTATGTTTGATATTTAATAAATGTGGTGATTATTATTTTGTTGGTTTTTTTTTCTTGTTATTATTGATTTATTTTGTGGATTCTTCTATGTGAGAGAAAAAGAAAACAATTGAAGAAATTTGCGCCTAGAGCGTAAGAGCAACCCCAATAAGGGAATTTTTACACAAATTTTAAAAAATTTTGGGTGAAATGGAGGAAAGGGATGAAAGAGAGAGAGGGGGGAGTTTGTCCTGCAAAAATGAAGATTTTCGCAGTGATTGGTCTCGCCATTGAAGAAGGAGAGTTGCGCCTCATGCATGAGAGACGCAACTCTCGCGCTCACCTGGGCGCGTTCTTTTTTTTTTTTTTTTTTTTTTCAGAATTTAGTTTTGTTTCTTTTTTTTTTTTCTCCCCTCTCATTTTCTCTTTCATAATTACACTTGTAAAATCTCCTCAAAATCTTCACACTATTGACAATACCCTAAGAAGCATGTCCAGTAGGCATGCTATGCACGCGCCTACGGGGAGTGTTTGTAGTTTTTTTTCACTTTTTTATATGTTGTTAGCTTTTTTTTTTTCTTTTTTTTTCCTTCTCCTCTTTATTTTTGAGTGGCACATAAAATCGTGAAAAACATTGGCTAATGAGGATGTCCTAAAAGCATCTTCAATCCCTGTTTCTTTTCTCAAAATGTTAATCCAAAATGTTGTTTATAACAGCATAAATTTGCCAGTTCTCTAAATTTTTTCAATAACACTAATATAATTCTCAATCAATTTTATGATAATTTATCTTCTAAATTTTAACCAACAAATTGTGAAGTTTTTTTTTTTTTTTTAAAACCAAATAATTACATTCATTAACGTAAGTGTTCAATACAACGAAATCAGCCAACTAGAAGGAGCGGTCTGCGAAGAGTAGCTCTTGCCAAAGCATGAGAATACCTATTCAGTGATCTAGGAACGTACTGAAAAGACACTATTTCAAAGTGTCGTTGGAATGCCCAGCACTCACGAAGAACACAACCTGCATGCAATCGGAATAAATGACTATCTTGGTAAAACCCATCTCCTTAATCCAAGATAAAGCTTCCTTTACCGCAAGAGCTTTGCCCAGGTGAGAATCATTTAAACACTAGATAGGGTCATTTTTAGTTGCCACAAATTCCCTATTACTATCCACCACAAAAACACCAAAATAAGCATCATCATCATCACTAAAAACCGTGGCATCCACATAAATACACATAGTACCTGGGCTAGCAACTGGTAGTGTATTAAAAATCCATCCATGCATTCCTTCACAGGCCGTTTGGTTGGGGGGGGGGGGGGGGGGGGGGAATTATGTGGGAAATAAATTGTAATTCCATGGGAGTTGAATTACTGGGAATAAAGTGGGAATTTAAATTCCAGTGTTTGGTTGACAGGAATATAATTACTGGGAATTTCAATTCCAATGTTTGGTATACATGGGAATTGAAAGGGAATAAGTAGTATAAAGTCAAAAATGTCCATTATTGTTGTTAGACATTAATTTTAGGTTAAAAAAGGAAGGGGTAATTTTGACTCATCACTATCTTTTTTTCCCAGGAATTAAAATACTAGGGGGGACTTGGGATTTTAATTCTATGAAAATGGGGGAATTGCAATTCCATGGAATTGCAATTCCCTCCAACCAAACTACGGAATTTAATGGCCTTTGGAATTATGTGGGAATTAAGTGGGAAGGGAATTTAAAATCCCTCCAACCAAACGCCATGTCACTTGCTACCAAATTTGTCTGATACGCCCTTAATTGTAATTATGGAGCTTAATTAGGAAGAATTAATTATATTTCTAGAATTAGGATGATAATTAGGATGGTACAACTTAATTAGTGGGAGAGTTAATATTGTGACTAAATTAGTATAGTGAAATTATGTAAATCACAATATATCATTACCTTGTATAGTTAGTATAATTTTAGTAGGTTAATTATTATAGGTATTAGTAGATTAGTATAAATAGACCATTGTATATGAAGATGGAGAAGAAGAGAAATATATTGTTATTCCAGTCTTTTATATTGAAGAGTTCTTCATTTTCTTCCGTTATATTATTTTCTTTTGGAGTTACCAAGCCTGCTCGAAAGGTTTCTTCCGTTGCGTACTAAATTTCAGTACGTAACATTGTCTCTCCCTGCCATTCCAAAAACATATTAGCCACCTTAATGTTTATCAAGGAAGATTGCCAAACTTTATTGTTCCATACCGGGTCATTACGGCTCTTTTAGATACACCAACAAATATTGATACATTTCATCACCAAGGCACTATAGCCAACCGCCAACCACTTCGAGAACCAGCCGGCGAAATCATCATCTAATTGTGAAGATTAATTATTCTCACATTATTGAGTAACAGCCAACAGGTAATAAAATTTGTTACCAACTTAAAATAATAGTTTACTCTATAATACCATACATCATGTAAGTTGGTGGTAGCCAATTAGCCTTGTCTGAAACCCAAACCTATTAAACAAAACAAGGTACATCTATCTATTTATATTTACTTTATGGTATGTTCATAATGTTCATTATTTATGTTCATAGAAACACAATTTAATGTATATAAACATTCCATTACAAGTGAATCATGTTTAATAACATTCGCCATATACTATTGATAGGGTCATAGGACATCCCTACTTGCCCTACATAATCCATTCCCCGTGTTCATATGGTTTAATAAGCCCAAAGGTGCACTTCCCGACCTAGTGGGTAATTCTACACACGACACGGTGGTACTTCCCAACCTCTTGATGGTCCAAATGTGCACTTCTCAATCTCAAGAGAGTTTCACAAAGTGTACTTTTCGGTCTCATGAGGACTCACAAGTGTACTCCTCAGTCTTCAGAGGTAGGGTTCACAAGTGTACTTCACAATCTTATGAGGGTTCACAAGTGTACTTCCTAGTCTCAGTTTCAGGAGGGCTTACAATGCATTTTTCACAAGCTTTGTTAAAAGTATTGTATTTTAAACCCAACATATCAACAATGCATTTTTCTGCACGTATCTTATGGTACAGAGAATCTATTGTTCATTCCAGGCACCTGGATGTATAATGAAAAAGAAGAGGGGATCTATGGAACCACCATGATTTGACACAATCTGATGTTTTAACATGGTACTTCTATATTACTTCTCTAATGTAGCCTTATGCATTGTTAAGATGGACTTAACACTTAGAAACCTTATCTAGTTAAACAAACATTGGAACTAGGAAACATCTGATTGTACTGTCATGTGGATTAGCTAGTTAACCAGATTGGGGGACCTCAATAATTGTGCCCTATCTATGGTTTACAAAGATAATGACCTTGTTTGGTAATCAGCAGTTAGCGGTTAGCGGTTAATAAATAGTGGATTATATTAGCGGGTTTGACCAGCAAATTGTATCAGCGGTTTATAAAAAGATGTTTGGTAGAATTAGCTATTTAGATTAGCGGTTAACGTATAAAATGACCAATAAGGACATTACAATTATAAAATATTAATAAATAGAAACAATACACGAATAATAATAATAATAATAATAAATAGAAATAGTACAATAATAATAATAACAATAATAATAATAATAATAATAATAATAATAATAATAATAATAATAATAATAATAATAATAATAATAATAACTAACAAAGAAACAATATATAATACGGAGTAATAATTAAAAAAAAAAAAAAGGACAAATTAAGGGGAGCCTGCGTATAGGCTCCCCTTTGTCCCACATCGCCAAAACACAAAAGAAGGGAAGCCTCAAGGCTTCTCTATTTGAGAAGCCTTGAGGCTTCAGAATAATAATTTTTTTTTTTTTTTATATTACAAGTTAGGGGTGTTTTGGGGAAAGGTTTGATTTCCCAAAACGCCAAACCCCAAACGCTGCTAATTGCAGCGTTTGGGGTTTCAGCGGTTTGGCTCCAAACCGCTGATAACCAAACACTAGAATTAGCATTTTGACCAAGTCAAAACGCTGATTTTAGTCAAATTTGTCAAAAAATAGCAGATCCGCTGCTAACCAAACATGTCCAATGTGTTATTTTTTTTTTTTAAAGTAACCTATATTATAAATCAAACTTGTAAAAAAAAAGTTAAACAAAAAGATAATTTGGTAGACAATGTTATTCTCATGACTTGAAAATATGAAGTAAATAGAGTAAGTCGAGAATTAGCTCAATATAAAAGCAGAAATGTAACAAATCTCAAGGTTACCAAGAGTATGAATAACCTACTAGATACGCTGAAAAAAAACCTCTCATGCTCTTCTAAGAATCCTTCAAATAGTTGAGTAGTTTCATCATAGTAGCTGTCATTTCTTCTATTGCAGCCATCTCTGAGGCTGTTGGTTGATATCTCTCAATCTATGAGTAGCTCCATCTATCCGAGCTTGCATATCTGCTATGCTACTTTGCTTGAGGGCTAAGGTCATTTTCATGTGAGTAGCCTTTAAAACCAGCACTCTTTGTTTGGAAAGAGTGAAATTTTCTTCCTTTAACAAAACATCAAGTTTTCACTCTTGCTCAGTAAATTCCTTTTTCAGCTGAGATAGATCTCCATTGAAGAACTACACAAAGAGACAAACAGATCCCCGCCCTGTTTGCAATTCCAAATAAGAAAAATTTTAATAAACGGTGAAACATTTGCTGTAGAGAGGTCTGGTTTTGCTGTAGAGAGACCTGATCATCCTTAATGGCACCCACTTCAGTCTGGAGTTGCTGAATGTCTTCACACAAAGTCGCAAGTACTTCAGCGAGTGTTGGGTCGCCCATGACAGCTGGCTC